GCGTTTAAAAGTTGCCATTTTAGCCAATTTGGGACAATTAACGCGCGATATATTTCCACGCCCGTAAGCGGAGAGTTATTCCGTCTTGGATATTGTTCCAAATTGGATGAAAGAAGTTAATTTACCATAATTGATTTTATACAAAGAGCAAAAATTATCCTTTTGTACTTTATATGGCGTGTGGGGGGGATGATTTTCAATTAAAAAATTTCAAATTTTTGAAAAAATTTTGTTTTCATTTTTTATTTCATTTAATTTTTTAATGTTATTACTGCTCTTTAAACCTTAAAAGGCAGTCGGAACATTCAGGGCTTTGCTTTGATACAAGCAGTCTTGTTGTATTTTGTATTTATTAAAATATTTACTGAAAAGTTTGATTTACTGCAGATTTTGGGGGGATTGACTTAGGATCTTTTTATCAGTCGGTATTGTATAGATAGTAAGCTCAGCACCAATAAGATTGTTGAAGAATTTTTTCTTCAAATTATTTTCATGTCAGTAATTGAAAAATTTTAAATTTACTGCATAAATACAAAAGTTTGTTCCGGTTTCCGTCGTACTATCATGTAGCAGAGTGGTCCGATTCCTGATTGTCTTTCGCGCCATGATCTTGGTCTTCTTTCAATACCTGGTATTTCTCGTATTGATTGAAAAAAAATTTTGGCGTAAATTTGGCGTAAATTTATTGAGAACTAGAGACATTTCTATTAAATTATCTATTCCGTCTAACATTTTTGCAATTTTGCATTTGTCTAATTCTAAAATCTATTTTTTCTAAATTCAAGTTAGTTATGGTCTTGTTGGCGACTTTTGGTCGCACCAGATGTGTTATGTACTAGTGACTGTATTCATAGAGTAATTTTAGATAAGGTACACCGTCTGTTCGTCACGCTATCTTATTTTCTGCCGGATAGATTCGTGCAACTTCTTAGTCTAATACCAATCTTAATCTTACTCTTATATCTCCTAGTCTCAATAGATCTAGTGTACGCTGGTATTTGCGGGTTAGATATCTGGAACTTGCTCCAAAGGAGAACAACTGTGCTCCAAAGGAGAACAACAATGGTTTAGAAGAAATATTTTATAGAGATAGTTTTATCAAAAATATAATTGATTGTAAAAAACTAGTTTCAAACTGGTGCCAAATGTGCTGTTAATTTCAGGCCGATTATCTTGTCATTTTTGATCATAGAGCACTTTTTACCTAATATCCAATCAAGGGCTGAAAAACTTGTTCTCAAAAATTACATAAAAATTGAAAAAAATTTTAGCCGCGCGATACAATTTGAATGTTGAGTTACAAATAAGCGCCAACGTCGACACTTGAAAAAATATATTTATGAAGAAGCCCGAAGCGTTAATTGAGCTTCGCCTCAAAAGGAAAAAATCATTAATTTTTCTCCTGTCTTTTAAATTCAACAAATCAGCTTCAAAAGATCAGAAAGCTGGAACAATTATTTTTGAGTCGTTGAATTGAACATGAAAAATTGAATATCCTAAAGATTCTCTGACCGTTCAAAACGTTTCCAAAGATAACTGTTAAGGTCGTCAAAAATGTTTTGACTTCAAAATACGAGCGGACAGAAAACTACAAGCTGTTAAATTAATTTTCACGTATGAAAACAATTTAAAACGTAAGTGCAGTTGCATATTTTCAACTTATTTTGCGGCGTTAGATTGGTAAAACACGTTTAGTACAGAATTGAAAATGGCGTTTGTGCAAAAACGCTCTTTATCGTTCGACTTGAGCAGAAATTTATACATAGACGAGAGTGACCTGGAGAATTTGCGGTTCATATGTCAAGGGTCATTTGGCCACGTGTGGCAGTGTACTTGTAAAAACTACCCGAAGACAGTGGCTCTGAAGCGGGTGTCACTCCCGATCGAAGAAGAAGGAATGATACTGCAGTCGCTGAGTCATCCTAAAATTATAAAGGTATCATTGGGCCAAGTGAAAAACCAACCATTTAAACAGCTTAGGTGGATATTGTTCACTTGGTTGAAAGATTTCTTTTTCAGCCAGTAAAAACTTTTGCAGGTTGGCTTACAGCTTAAAGATTTCTCCATAAAAACAACTCAATGGTTAAGCGTATGAGAATTATGTACCTAGTAAAGAATCCCCCCATTTTGCAAAAAGGGCAATCTAAGCAGAAATTTTCTTTCAATTTATATGGTTCGTCAGTAGTTCAGTCGAGTAATTTATAGGAGTAACTGATCACATATAATGGGAAAATGAGATTGAGTTCTTCGTGAAGTCCAACTGAATGAAAATTTGGGTTTGAAGGCTTCGAAAATTTGAAGGCTTAGAGTTAGTTAGAGGCCACTCTGGTTAAATTTAGTTTTTTAACCTAACTGAGAGTTGGAGATTATAATGTCCCTGTATTTCAGTACTTGGGAGTTATCCATAATCCTCCCAACTATGGCCTTGTGATGGAGTTTGCGGAGAATGGCTCTTTGGGGGACTATTTGCACAGACCGGATGCACAGATTAGTACCAACGAACAGGATTCATTCATACAACAAATTAGCGCAGGTAGCCATCAATTCGAAAATCAGTGGATAAACGGTAGAAAAACGCGAAATATTTCATTAGTTTAAAATAATATTAACTGACACATTTCATTAGTTTAAAATCATATTAATTGAAAAAATTTTTTAGCTTAAAATAACAAGACTGGTCGTATCAAGGCGAAGCCCTGAATGTTTCGACTACCTTTTAAGGTCTATGGAGCAATAATAGCAAGAAAAAATTAAATGTAATATTAAAAAAATGAAAATTTTTTATTAAAAAGTTTGAGATTTTTTGTGAAAATCATCCCCCACACGCCATATAAAGTACAAAGTGATAAACTTCGCTCCTAGAAATAAATCAATTATGGCAAAAAAGCTTCCTTCAACCAATTTGGAACGATTTTCAGTACGGATTAAACCTCCGCTTAAGCGTTAACAAGGCTGCTCGTATATCAGGGCAAAGCCCTGAATGTTCCGACTGTCCCTTAATTCATATCAAATAGTTTTTGGTTGAAAAGAAAATGTTAAAAACCTATACGTTTTGGACAATATCAAAGTGTAAAATTTTGTGCGAAATGAAACCAATTAGCTAGCCTCCATTCAATTTGGAACGATTTTGTTGTGCGGTATAATTCGCCACTCATAAATAATTGTTCCGACTTTCGATACGAACGTAACGGAATATTTGTGCTCGGGGTGGGTTTTTTTTTCTTCAGACAAATTTCGACTTTTTAACTAGCCATTTTTGACAAAATTTTTTTCTATCATTCGAAACGTCTTGTTGTCCTGAGCTCAAATTTGAAAAGATATTTCTTTTGTGATAGTTTTTCGTAGAGTTACGGGCGTTTAAAAGTTGCCATTTTAGCCAATTTGGGACAATTAACGCGCGATATATTTCCACGCCCGTAAGCGGAGAGTTATTCCGTCTTGGATATTGTTCCAAATTGGATGAAAGAAGTTAATTTACCATAATTGATTTTATACAAAGAGCAAAAATTATCCTTTTGTACTTTATATGGCGTGTGGGGGGGATGATTTTCATTAAAAAAATTTCAAATTTTTGAAAAAATTTTGTTTTCATTTTTTTTTTATTTCATTTAATTTTTTAATGTTATTACTGCTCTTTAAACCTTAAAAGGCAGTCGGAACATTCAGGGCTTTGCTTTGATACAAGCAGTCTTGTTGTATTTTGTATTTATTAAAATATTTACTGAAAAGTTTGATTTACTGCAGATTTTGGGGGGATTGACTTAGGATCTTTTTATCAGTCGGTATTGTATAGATAGTAAGCTCAGCACCAATAAGATTGTTGAAGAATTTTTTCTTCAAATTATTTTCATGTCAGTAATTGAAAAATTTTAAATTTACTGCATAAATACAAAAGTTTGTTCCGGTTTCCGTCGTACTATCATGTAGCAGAGTGGTCCGATTCCTGATTGTCTTTCGCGCCATGATCTTGGTCTTCTTTCAATACCTGGTATTTCTCGTATTGATTGAAAAAAAATTTTGGCGTAAATTTGGCGTAAATTTATTGAGAACTAGAGACATTTCTATTAAATTATCTATTCCGTCTAACATTTTTGCAATTTTGCATTTGTCTAATTCTAAAATCTATTTTTTCTAAATTCAAGTTAGTTATGGTCTTGTTGGCGACTTTTGGTCGCACCAGATGTGTTATGTACTAGTGACTGTATTCATAGAGTAATTTTAGATAAGGTACACCGTCTGTTCGTCACGCTATCTTATTTTCTGCCGGATAGATTCGTGCAACTTCTTAGTCTAATACCAATCTTAATCTTACTCTTATATCTCCTAGTCTCAATAGATCTAGTGTATGCTGGTATTTGCGGGTTAGATATCTGGAACTTGCTCCAAAGGAGAACAACTGTGCTCCAAAGGAGAACAACAATGGTTTAGAAGAAATATTTTATAGAGATAGTTTTATCAAAAATATAATTGATTGTAAAAAACTAGTTTCAAACTGGTGCCAAATGTGCTGTTAATTTCAGGCCGATTATCTTGTCATTTTTTATCATAGAGCACTTTTTACCTAATATCCAATCAAGGGCTGAAAAACTTGTTCTCAAAAATTACATAAAAATTGAAAAAAATTTTAGCCGCGCGATACAATTTGAATGTTGAGTTACAAATAAGCGCCAACGTCGACACTTGAAAAAATATATTTATGAAGAAGCCCGAAGCGTTAATTGAGCTTCGCCTCAAAAGGAAAAAATCATTAATTTTTCTCCTGTCTTTTAAATTCAACAAATCGGCTTCAAAAGATCAGAAAACTGGAACAATTATTTTTGAGTCGTTGAATTGAACATGAAAAATTGAATATCCTAAAGATTCTCTGACCGTTCAAAACGTTTCCAAAGATAACTGTAAGGTCGTCAAAAATGTTTTGACTTCAAAATACGAGCGGAAAGAAAACTACAAGCTGTTAAATTAATTTTCACGTATGAAAACAATTTAAAACGTAAGTGCAGTTGCATATTTTCAATTTATTTTGCGGCGTTAGATTGGTAAAACACGTTTAGTACAGAATTGAAAATGGCGTTTGTGCAAAAACGCTCTTTATCGTTCGACTTGAGCAGAAATTTATACATAGACGAGAGTGACCTGGAGAATTTGCGGTTCATAGGTCAAGGGTCATTTGGTCACGTGTGGCAGTGTACTTGTAAAAACTACCCGAAGACAGTGGCTCTGAAGCGGGTGTCACTCCCGATCGAAGAAGAAGGAATGATACTGCAGTCGCTGAGTCATCCTAATATTATAAAGGTATCATTGGGCCAAGTGAAAAACCAACCATTTAAACAGTTTAGGTGGATATTGTTCACTTGGTTGAAAGATTTCTTTTTCAGCCAATAAAAACTCAGCATTTTGCAGGTTGCTTACAGCTTAAAGATTTCGCCTTAAAAATAACTCAATGGTTAAGCGTATGAGAATTATGTACCTAGTAAAGAATCCCCCCATTTTGCAAAAAGGGCAATCGCAGCAGAAATTTTGTTTCAATTTATATGGTTCGTCAGTAGTTCAGTCGAGTAATTTATAGGAATAACTGATCACATTTAATGGGAAAATGAAATTGAGTTCTTCGTGAAGTCCTACTGAATGAAAATTTGAGTTTGAAGGCTTCGAAAATTTTGGAGTTAGAACAATTCCGGAGTTAGTTGGAGGCCACTCTAGTTAAATTTAGCTTTTTAACCTAACTGAGAGTTGGAGATTAAAATGTCTCTGTATTTCAGTACTTGGGAGTGATCCATAATCCTCCCAACTATGGCCTTGTGATGGAGTTTGCGGAGAATGGCTCTTTGGGGGACTATTTGCACAGACCGGATGCACAGATTAGTACCAACGAACAGGATTCATTCATACAACAAATTAGCGCAGGTAGCCATCAATTCGACAAGCAGTTAATAAACAGTACAAAAACGCGAAATATTTCATTAGTTAAAAAATAATATTAACTGACACATTTCATTAGTTTCAAATAAAAAGACTGCTCGTATCAGGGCGACTGTCTTTTAAGGTTTATGGAGCAGTTATAGCATGAAAAAATTAAATGCAATAAAAATAAAAACAAACTTTTTTTTAAATTGAGATTTTTTGTGAAAATCTTCCCCCCCAAACGACATATAAAGTACAGAGTGATAAATTTCGCCCCTAGTAAAAATCAAATATGGCAAAAAATCTTCCTTGAACCAATTGGCAACGATTTCTAAAACGTATTAAATCTCCGCTTACGCGTTAATAGCGCGAAACCGCGTTCAGACAATTCGGCCACAGACAATTCAGCCAATTTCAAATTCAGACAATTCAGTCAAAATGAGTGAGACAATTCGGCCAAAGACTATTCAGACAGTTTCCCTCAGAGGAATTTCAGAGTCTATCAGACTACTTCGAAGACACCTATATTGGTGCTTGTCGAGGAAATAGACGCGTCAAACCAAAGTTTGACATTGCCGATTGGAACGTTTTCAATCGGGTGCTCAGCGGAGAACCTCGTACGAACAATGCGTTGGAGGCATGGAATGGCAGCTTCAATAAGTTCGTATCGACAAAGCATCCAGCCCTCCCCAAGTTGATCACACGATTCAAAGATGAGCAAAAAAACGCCGAAATTAATGTAGAGAGACTGATGTCCGGTAATATTATCAGAAAACAGAAGCCCAAATATTCAATAGCAAATGATAAACTCGTTCAAAACGCAAAAAATTACAATCGAGACCATATACAGAAGTATTTAAAACTGTGTACCTTCAATGTACATATTTCGTAAAACTTTATGCATAGCAAGTTTGTTTTGATCTTCGAAATTTGTTGTTTGATGTTTTACATTTCATTGGTAAACTGTTGAAAGCCTTCTGACTCTAATCAAATTAGAAAAGTTTTATTGTTCCCTTTTATCTTGTCTCTTTAATCTAAATCGGCCGAATTGTCTTTGGCTGAATTGTCTGAGTTTTTTTGGCTGAATTGTCTGTATTTTAAATCGGCTGAATTGTCTGTGGCTGAATTGTCTCTGCGCCGCGCGAAACATCGCGCGTTAATTATCGCAAATTGGCAAAAATTGCAATATGTAAACCCCCATAACATTACAAAAAAATATCACACGTGAAATATATATTGTTTTTCAAAAATAGGCTCTGGAAAACAATACCTTTTGAATGGTATTAAAATTTCCGTCAAAAATGGCTAGTTAAAAAGTCGAAATTTGTCTGAAGAAGCAAAACCACCCAGAGCACAAATGTTCCGTTGTTTTCTGTACGAAATGTCGGAACAACAAAAAGTAATCTACATTTTGAGCCAGAAAATAAAAGCCTCCGAAAAGAAAAAAAAATAAATCGTAGGCTCAGCACAATTACTCAATTGAAAAAATAGAGCTTCGAAAACAGACGTAAGTATTCTTAAAATTAGTTTCACATTTTAAACAACAGACTGTTTACGTGAATAGATTGTTTTTAGGCATGCTCTACCTGCACCATGGAGCTAACTTCCCCATAATGCACCGAGACCTCAAGCCTCAAAACATTCTACTCAGCAACAACTTCACACTCGCTAAAATCGCCGACTTCGGCTGCGCTAAGCTCATAGTTGACGGCACAATTACCGGCTCCAATCGGGGGAGCATAGCGTATATGGCGCCCGAACTGATACGAGAGGAGGGGAAGTTGTCACGAGCGGCCGACGTGTATTCGTTCGGAGTCGTGCTTTGGGAAATACTAACCAAAAAACGACCTTTTTCGGGCAAAAACGAAGCTCAGATTATTTACTTCAAAGGAGTCGGAAATAGTTTGCCGACTAAAGACGAGAATTTACGAGAGCCATATAAGGAAGTTATTGAGAAGTGCTTTGAAAAAGAGAGACGAAGACGGCCTGATTTTAAGTATCTGCACGCAGTTGTCACTCACAGTTTAGGGTCAAGTTCGACTAACAGTTCAAGTTTTAGGTGAGCGAAAATTGACACGCACGTAAAAACATTTTTTCTTTTTTTTTTTCAAAACTGATGTTGGTCTCAAAGCCTATAAAACATTGCAAAACACTGCATTGGATTTAGATCAGCATAACTTTAGAATTATAACTAATTAGGCTGAAAACTTTAAAAAATCATACAAACAAAAAATGCTTGGCCGGCCTTAACAAAAACATAGCCACGAGAAGCCAAGGTTTCTTTGTATTTAAGAAGCAATTATTTCTAAATCTAAGAAAAATTTAACAGGTAAAAATTTAAAAATTTTTGGTTGCCCTCCGAATTGAAATTGAAAAACAGGTCAAAAATGACGTTCTATCTATTAAAAGCATACTGTTTAGTTTCGGGTCGGACCGCATGCCCGACATCTCGGCGGGTGGGGACAACAGTCACCTGGCCTGGATCTCCTACCCTCGGGAAGTGGTGCCAGAGGCCGAGTGGAGTCCCCAGGAGAAGGAGAGTCTGGCTGTGAGGAAGAACAGAAACACTGTCATGGTGCTCAACACTGCATTCTTCAATGTTGATCCACCCAGAATGGACGAAGTGAACAAAACTCCGCCTCCTCCCGATTTGGGTAAAACAGCAACTACGGCAACCCATCCCCTCAATTTTGGTTGCCAATTTGTTTCCAAAGAATCTCCCTTTTGGTTCGATTTTACAACAACATCTTTTGGTCGCCTAGATATAAACTTATTTCATAGGCGCCTCTTGAATTACACTAAATTTGAGAGGAAGCGCGCGCAAAAAAAGCGAGATCTTTTGGTCAAATCTTTTAAAAGGTGCACCTGTTCCTTCAAAAATTCGTCTGCGTAACAGGGTTTTTATTGGATGTTACGAGTTCGGAGAAGGAATTTGGTCGTCCTGAAAATAATGTCGGAAAAATTTCCAAACCTATTTCACCTCTCGAAAATTTTTTTATGGCATCTAGAATTCTGATTATTTGCAATTTGCACCAAAAATTCTCCAAAAGTTTCACCGTTTCTAGTTCTTGTCAACCACTGTGACAAAACTTACCCAGCTAAGCGCAACTCAGAAAAAAATTGTATCGAAAAATGCATGAAGCTGTATCTCTGCTAGTTTATACGGATTTTCTGCATATCGATCATGTTCCTTTTTTCTATCAAACAATAAAAGTTCAATGATTGAATAATGTGAAAGATTGAACTGTAGGTCCCGAATTGGAGCACCGGGAGAGGGTGACTTGTTTCGGGTGGGGCAACGGGGGAGGTTCTCCCCTCCTGGCGGTGGGCACTGCAGATGGGAGGGTGTGGCTGTGGACTGGATCTGGCACTCTGCTGAGACGCATCATCGTCAGGAACAACCAGCCAGTGCTGAAGGTAACGACAAACACCACCACGGATTGCTTCGCAGTCAAAATCTTCCGTTCATGTGCGTTGATAAATAGGGTATTTAGTATATTTCATTCAGTATAAATTAAAAAGTAGCAAATAGCGAATATTCATTCAGTATAGTTAAGAAAATAGCAAAGATTGTTCTGAGTTGGTAAGTTTTGGGAAAAAATAAAAATGACAATTTTAATTTTTTCTACCCTTTTTTTGGGTGCATTGAAATTGAATAGCAAATAGATAAAAAGAGCTAAATTATAAAGTTGTCCCAAAAAACTCGAAAGTGAGGAAAACAATGTCAATCAATGGGAAAACCAACCTGAAATGCTAACATATTTCGACCAGTTTTCCTCGACATTTTTTGAAATTTATTTTCAGAATCTGAAGTATGACCCTAAAACTGATACTAACTTGGATACTTCATTGTTGCTTTTTCCGAGAAAAATCTCGAGATACATGAAAAAACCAAATTAAAAAACCTAGCAAAATGTAGATTTGTCTCTAGTAAAAATTGTTCATTTTGAAATACTTTGGAAGCAGCTTTTTTGGAAGCAGCTGATTTTGGAATTTGGTAAAGATTCGATTATTCTGCACTTTCAGTTGGAGTGGAACTCGGATAGTAGTTTGATAGGAGTCATCTGTCAATCACCGCCTACACACAGCAATGAGTCATCATCCAGGATGGAAGTACCTGGATCCGACGGAGGAGTTGAGGTGTTGGTGGTGTCTCTGGAAACCGAGTTCCACGTGACTTCCATTCTCAACTTTTCCTCCTTCTCAGATGTGCTCACATGGAGCAAAGTCAAGCAAGACATGCTCGGTATAAAAAAATAATAAAAAAAAGAAACAAATGCTTAATTGGATTTTTGGTACTTTTGGGTTATTTCTGAGACTTTTTATGTTCATTTTAATTCTTTCATATTGGATTTCCAGTATTTTTATAATGTAATGAAAACAAATAAATCAGTTGGTTAATAGCACCCCAAATTGGGTCTTATGCACTAAACGGCCCAAAATCAGTATTTCTACATCTTTCTTGAACTCAAAATAAAATGGTTGAATCGGATTGGCTAATCATACACTCAAATTCAAACAACATGGTCCGGCATTTCAATTAAAATTCCTAGCAGATAAAATTATTGGCCGAAATAACCAAAATTATAAAACTTTTCTTCTGCTGAAGCCATTTTGCGAAATTTTTCTCATCCGGGCAAAATTACCCAAATTACTTGAAAAAAAAATAAGACAAAGTTTAACTTTTTGGTTATTTCGGCTAATATTTTTATCTGCTGGAAGCTTTGATTGAATTGCCTGAAAATGTTGCTTGAATTTGAATGGCTTATATTAACCAGTCAGATTCGACTGCATAAGTTTTAATTCAAGATATAAAAATTTTGATTTTGGGCCGTTTTGTGCATAAGACCCCCCAAATTTTCCAGAAAAAAGCAAAATGGAGATGCCACCCGACAGGCTGATGCCTTTTTGGTATTCTCCCGAGCCGAACTTTATTGTAAACGTACAATTTCATAGAATGTATGCTTATAAGTTTTAAATTGAAAATAAAATTATGATATTATAAATTGATGATAGGTTTTTGACAATGGGGTCGTCAGCAGGTCGAATCTAAGATTCAAGTAAAAACTGATTAACAACCTCAACAAAAATTAAAATGATCATTTTTTGTTAATAAATAAAGTCACAATTATGTTTATTTATTAGTTATTACATATTTCGTTATTATATATAGTGTGTTGTGAGATGAGCAAAGTGCACATTTTCAAGAACGACGACTACACGTTGAGTGCTCCCAAATCGCACCATCAGAGTCGCATCCAGAGCGCCGTCTGGTCCCCCCTGGCGAACTACGTGGCACTGGTGTCCAAAACAGCACTCCAGATATTCTCGGTCGAGAACACCTCCACACACTCCTCGGAGGATCCCAACTCGGGGGAAGGAAGCCCATCTAAGATGAAAGTCAGGTGAGGCGATCAAGGGTCGTCAAAGAAAGACGAAAAGAAAATTAACCACTAGAAAGTAATCAAGTAGTCAGGTAAGTTATGCGCCGCGCCCCAAAGAAAAACGAATCGCTATAAACTTGACAGCAAGTAAATAAAAAAACACTGGCATCAGGGGCGGATTTAGAAGGTGGCGGGGTTGGGGAGCGGACCCCCTCTCAGCGATTCAACACCCTGCCGACCCAAAGGGTCCTCCCATTGAACTATTTTGAGATATCCATTTCTGGCTTACAGGCCCTAAAATTTTCTAAGGCGCCTTAGGCGCCAATATATGCTAATTTTAAGGGGGGGGGGGGGCGCCGAAAAAACGCGATTTTTTTGGTAAACATTTTCGAAAAAGTGCCTAAAAAGTTTCAAAAAAGTGCCTACATTTGGTAAAAATTTTGCCTCCGGCGCTGAAATTTTGGCCAAAACGGACTTTTTAGTGCTTTGGCAGAGCTCGGAAAATCAATTTGCTCGACCAAAAAAAAGGTCGCCAAAATTTCAAAAGTTTTTTGAAAATCCGAAAGTTTTTCGATCGTCTATGATAAGTTGTGAAAATGTATTTTGTCGACCTAAAACAAACCATGCTTTGACAAAATTTTGAAAAAAAAAGAGGCAAAAAGGCCATTTTTGGGCACTTTTTGTAAAGTTTTGAACAACCAAATATTCTTCAAAATTAGTATTAATTGGCGCAAAAGGCGCTTTTACGAAGATTTCAGGTTCGGTCGGCGAAAAGGGGATGTCTTAAAACAATACAGAAGGGGGACCTTTTGATTGGAACAAAAGAAGGGGGGACCCTTTGGTTGGTGAGGGTATCGAACCCCTGAGGGGGGATCTTTAAATCCACCCCTGATTGGATTAAATCATTCGGAAAGAAAGTCACTGTTAAATTTTTAATCAAAACCTGAGCTGTAATGTAAACTTTGTTGAAGGTCCAAGACTTCGATGCAAAAAATCGGCGATATCCAAGGCGTCGTCTGGCACCCGAAGAATGCAGATGAAATCTTCGTGAATAACTTCGCCGAAGTGCTCGTGATTAATGTGGCCAAAAAGACGCACAGAAAAATTTTCGTGGCGGATGACGAAAGCAGTCTTAGTTTCTTTTCGCTCAGTCCAAACGGCCAGGCTGCGGGTAATAATATTAACTGGTCATTAATAAGTTATAAATTAAAGCAACCCTCGGAGGAGAAAATTTTTATTAAAAAGTCTTGTTAAGAATTATTTTGTCAAGGTATTGTTTTGAATAGTGGGCACCAATTTCTAAGATCCAAACTTTAATAATCGAAATAGTTTTGCGGCTACAGTGTTTAAGCACAACTTTGTGGTTTCATTCCCAAAACCTCACAATAAGCTTAAAATTTTCGAGAAAATTAAATTGAGCTAATTCGAAATTAATTAGTTTTAAACGGCTTTTACCCTAAGTTTCCAGGAATCGAATACGTTCTCATTGTAAACACTTCTTTTAGCAATATTTGCTGACGAACAGCACGCGCTTATAATCGTCCGCACCGACGACAGAGCTGTACAGGGATCGAACCCCGCTCTCTCCAAGGACAGCAAAAATATAATCGGCAAAGTATCATTGATTAAAAAAGACATTCTGAAGTCAAACCCCATTTGGAATTCCGATGGCAGTCGTTTATGCTTAAGCGTCGAGTATGCTAAAAGTGACCTAAATATGTTCGACTATTCGCTTCTGTTGGTCAATTTGGAATCAAAGTTTAATATTCACTGTCTTGTACTGGAGCGACCGAAAAGTGTGAAAACTTTCATCGAAGTTTCGCGATAGTAAACCCCTGAGATAGTGAACCTCTGAAAACTTCGAAGATCAATCTAATACTCCTTCTTTTGACCATTTTGATCATTATTTTGACAATGAAACTGTAAAAAAGCCAAAAACTCGGACAGACAGAACTATTTATTACTTTTCCATCTGAAACATAAAAACTGATATAATTTTTCATTCAAATGAATGAGCAGTATAGTATAATCAGTCTATCAAAATTTTGCATAGAAAAATCTTTTTGTATTAAAATCAAACCTGCGATTAACTCAAAGAGAGCAATAACTTAACCCGGGTTGACCTCATAGACGAAACATGCTAATCATACAATTCCATAAACTAAGTCTATGAAAAAATACTGCTCATACACATTTCAACAATTTTGCTAAAATGGAATCATTGATTTTTCGAAGAACTTTTTTCTTGTTTTGGCATATAAGACGGTGTATCGTCCCCTATAAAAAAGAAAAACTTTTTTTGTCAAAAAATTCTAACAATACAATTTCAATGTATGGAAATTCTATGACTAGCATTTTTTTGATGGTTTTGAAATTACCCCCAATGCTTTTTTAATAGCAAAACGATTTGTATTCAAACAAAGGCTTTCCAAAATACATTGCATGCAAAGTTAAGTTTTTATGTGCGTAATGTAGTCCTGGCAACATGAAAAGTGAGTTTTCTTATGTTTCTATAGATAAAATGCTTAAAACGCCCATCTGTTTTGTTTGGTATGTTTTTTTATGCCTTGATTGATGACGGATTCGTTAAAAACTCAAATTAAATAAAGAACGTTTTTGAAAATTTTGCGAAAATTTAAAAAATGATACTTTTTTATATCTTTAATGTGAGACAAATCTAAGACAATACAAGAAGTTTCCAAAGCATCATTATTGCAGGACGGTCAAACATGTCGTGACTCTAGTTTTGAGTAACCAAAGTCTACGAACACCACCCAAAAACTATGAGAGATTAAATTTAGAAAAAAAAAAACAACATTTTTGGCTCATGGAAAATTGCTAAATATATTAATTCCATATATCAAAAATCACTTATCATGCAATTTTTTGTACTTATGGAATTGCATGAAAAGTGTATGCCTAGCATTAGTGGCCAATCCGGGAAATGTTGGCCAAATACAAAATCAGCAGATTACAAAAGGTCGTCAAAAAGGCGAATACTTTAATAACCAATCAGAATCTAGTTTTGAAAACAAACGTACGCAAAAAAAAATCTTTTTTTTTCTTCCTTTTTTTCGTTTTTTTTATCTCGATTCTGATTCGTTAAAAGAGTATTTGTCTGATGAGCTGTTTATATAAGAAGTTACTCAAGTGTGGAACACACGCCGACTGGTGGTTATAGTTGCGAAACCAGGTCACTGATTGCGGGAATGCTTTTATTGTGTTTTTTTAAGTTTGGTTATCGATTTTGTGCAAAATATGTGCTCACTGAAGAGTTTAAATAAAAGCAAATTATTGGAACAAAAAGAAACTATTAGAAAGAGCAATCTGCCTTGTCTGCTCACTGATGAGTATAATTAATAGCAAATAATTTTAGCAGAAAGAAATTATTAGAAAGAGCAATCTGCCTTGTCTGCTCACTGAAGAGTATAATTAATAGCAAAAAATTGAAACAGAAAAAAATATTAAAAAGAGCAATCTACCAATTGTGAGCAATTTCGAATGCAAATTTGAAATTTTAGGTGACCCTGAATCATCCTTTTTGTCTGAAAGAGAAATTTTGCTCGCAAAATTTTTCTGAAGTAGAAAATTTGCTCATTTTAATTATTTTTGTCTGCTCCAAATTTTTGCAACTATCTATAAGCTTATCAACTTGCTGGCTCTACATCAATAAGAAAAATTTGGATATACCGCAGAACCTCAACCGTTAACTTAGTTTCTATTTTCATTCATATTCAGTTCAAATTTTGCTGGAATTAATTTCAACCAATCGGGTTTGATCAGTATAATCGAAGTTTCAAGTTGACTAATTGATTTTCTTTTGGTGGGCTATTCTCATGGGCGATAGATTGAATGGGCGAAAGACTCATGGGCGAAAGACTCATGGGTAATAAACCAAAAATAAAAAAACCGGAGGTCAGTTTATGAATGAACTATTTGACTGGCTGAATTTTGTTTTGCCTATTCCGTCCCTCACCTATGGAGGGTTCCAAGTTTTTCTGAGCCGTATCACAGAAGCGACAATTTAACTCAAGCCATTTATTTTATTTGAAAAGTGAAAAAATCTGTATTAAATATGCATTTGAACGAGCCCGCAAATAAAGTTGGCTTGCAAAACATTTCTGTGAGAATGCACTTGGGATAAATTCAACCATAGTTCTTGAAAGTTTGTTGTTTTCTCTCCTGTATAGATCATATTTGGGCGGGGTAGGCGAAAAGTTATACATTATATTTAAACAAGGAAATGACCAGATTAAAATCTAATTTTTAAGATTGAGCTTATATCTCAACGTCAACTGAAAATTGAAACTCGCATGCAACATCTCTTTCTTGAAAGTGTGACTTTAAATGCGGTAAAATCACGTCATAACAGGTCTCGGCATTTTCATTTTGTGCGCGGTTTTTTTCGAACTGACCAACTTTTTGTGCTCGGGGTTTTTCAATTAAACCTTAATCTAATATTAGATTCATCTTCAACAAAATAAAATTGGCAGATTGCTTTTTGAAGTTAATTTTAGTATGCCTCCGAACTTGTTGCAAAACTTATGCACGAAGCGGCCCAAAATCAATGATGTTATTCATTGATTTAAAATGTATGCGGTCAAATCTGATTGGCTAATATTTGCCAATCTAAGTCAATCAACTTATTCGGAGAATTCAATCAAAACTTCCAGCAGATAAAAGTAGTCGCAGTATTGTACCAAATTTTAAAACTTTGTCTAATAATGACCTTATTTTCAAGTAATTTGAAAATTTTGCCTAGGATAGAAACATCCAGTAAAACGGCTTCAGATGAATAAAACTTGAAATTGTTGGCCGAGATTACCAAAAATATAATTCTGCTGGAAATTTTTTTTCTAAACGCCGTACCATATTCTTTGAATTTCAATGTCTAATTAGCCAACTAGGTTCAATTTTATTAAATTTAGCGCCGTTTAGTGCATAATATCCCTTTTTACATTTAATTATTTTAGAAAATTGCACACAGAAACTAAACTTAAAAATATATATATTTTAAAAAAAAAGAAATTGCGCCAGTGAATGTCTCCGGTTCTTTTTTACTTATTCCGCCTAAAAATCAATAATTCAACATTTTGATCTGATATTATTTTGCTTGAACCTGATTGGCTGTAATCAGCCAATCAAAATTCAGACCCATCTCAAAATTTTTCATTCACAATTTTAGGTAGAATTAAAATTAAGCCGAATTGCTCTAAAATGAATAATGTTTGTTAAATTACTTAAAATTATTTCAAATACATTCCAGAGTGTTACTCAGATTGGAATAAAAACAAGGAAAACAACTCCAAGGGAAAAAATGAATACCTTTGCATCTGCTCAAACCGACCTTGCCAGATATTGACTTAAAAATAAAGTGATCGCATTTGTAATAAACAAATCAACCAGTGCTATCAGTATGTTGTTACCAGCTTTTAAACATTGAATTTTAAAAAATGCAAAATTAAAAAATTTGGGCGGACTAAATAAAGCGATCCAATGTCTGTTAGCTCAAAAACAGACCCCTCGAAAAAAATTGCATGTTGTTTGTTTTCATGTATTGAACTTTTTTTTCAGCTGCTGTAGTTTGATTCTATCATTGGATGCTGCAGCAGTAATTATATATCCGACGGAATAACTATCACTGCTCCACTTTTAATCCGGTTGCGGTATAATTCCACGCCATCCAAAAAGAACGTATTGTAAATATCGAATAATCTAAATAATTTTAACAAAATTTTTTTATGGTTTGCCTACAATTAAGAAAAATCTTGATTACTAAAGCAGTACACCTACTAAATATCTTTCCAGAAAATTCAAGAAATCATTGATTTCACAAAAAAATTCTATTTCAATTTACTTTCAAATCGACAATTTAATTTTTGAACAAAAACTCATTAAATTTCTGCGACATAGTTTATAAAGAGAAAACGAAAAACGAATATCATTTTTTTTCTTTTATATTTTGTAAGGTTTTTTATTTATTTTCTATAAAATACTTTGGCAAACATGATGTAGTGTAAAAAGAATTAATTATTTTAAAAAATATATGCAAAAAAAAATTTTTTAAATTTATAACCTGTTTTTTGGTAAAAAAAATAAAACTGAAAAAATAAAAACATTTTAATACACTTTTCTTTTTTGGCCGGTTATAATGCAGTTTCTTTTTTTTTCGTTTTGGTGTACGACGAAATTCTAACTACAGTTGAAATTTGAAAAAAACAGCAGCTCAACTTTTTTGATTTTCTTAACTCCGATTAGTCAAATGAGCATTTTAATTTTCCCTTCTCAATACTAAAAAAGAAAAAAGTTCTTTTTTACCAGAAAAACACTCATTAAACAAAATATTTGCAAAGAAGTAGCCTCATTATACTCAATCTCTGGTTTTTTAACTTCATTTAAACATCTATTTCACTGCCTTGAAGATTTCACTAAGATAACGTTAGACTTGTTTAGGTTGACTTGTTTAGGCAGACAGAAAAAAAAAACATTTTTTTTGTGTATTTTTAAAAGGCTCCAAAAATTTTCTTCAGATGTCTAAATTGGCCTTATCCTACTATTGTCTGAAAAATGCCGAGTTTTCCTTGAAAGCGTCGTCGATTTGTGGTGTCTCCGATTAACTCTTTCTGAGTGTCATTATTTAAGTGATGAGTTTAGCACGCACAGTTCGTATTGGCAGTTTTTTAAGACATCTGCTATGCGGCTCCTGGTCATTGATTTTATAGCTTAACTTTTTCGGTTTTTTTTAAATTGATTACCAAAACTATCTGAGTTGTTCACTGAATGCGTATCAGCTCAATTGAGGATATTCATTTAAAACTTAAATTAGCATTAAAAATAACCTCAGCTCTCTGTTTAATAAAAAATGATACACGTCTGCAGTAGCGGTTTTAGGGGTGGAAGAGGCGGACACCTCTTTCTACTTAAGGATTCGAGCTCCTACCGACTCAAAAGGTCCCCCTTTTGCA